GTTGCATTTAAGAATTTTCTTGAACAATACAAGAGGTACCAATGTTGTCAAAGATTATTTATCTAAGATGGAAAAGGAAGTGGGAAAGAAGGTAACTTTTTGTTTGGTCTTCCATTATTTAATATTAATTTACTTAATGGATCAGATTTTATGGTCTTTTTGATTCCATTCTGATGCTGTAAACCAAATCTTCTCTAGATAAGATTGCGGTCACCTCAAACAAATTCAGCATTCCAAAAGCTTTTTGGCCTCCCACCGGAAGAATTCCTCATCAATGACTTCACTTGTCATTTGAAACGCAAGATGCCCCTCCAGGTAGTTCTTCAGTCTCTTTCTTCTTTCTTTCTCTTTCCGGTTTTATTGTGCAATGGAAATATATGATTTGGTGTAGTTTTCATAGTTAATGTGATATCACATTTTTAAGATCGTTAAGGGTATGCATACTTTATTTATCAGCACCTTCATGGTGTTCAGGCATAAAAATGATGCTTTTGATGTTCATTACTTTTTTTGGATATTATCTTATGTCTTGCAATCTTATTGTTCAAATGTAGGGCCGTCTATTTTTGTCTGCTAGAATAATTGGGTTCCATGCAGACCTATTTGGACACAAGACAAAGTTTTTCTTCCTTTGGGAAGACATAGAGGACATTCAAGTTGTTGCTCCTACTTTGTCTTCAATGGGTAGTCCTATTGTTATCATGACGCTGAAGCCAGGCAGAGGCTTTGATGCAAGGCATGGTGCAAAGACACAAGATGAGGCGGGGAGACTGAAGTTTCATTTTCACTCATTCGTGTCATTCAATATTGCAAACAGGTAATTTCAAGTAGTAGATATAGTAAGAAATGACGGTGAATATTAGTTGTGTTGTTTTCTTGCTTATTCATTTTAAAATTTTTTTGATTGATTTCTCAATGCCTTTGAGCACATTATCAAATTTACTCTCTGATTTCTATATGCTTCCTTTCGGAATCATGTCATTTCTGGCATGTGCGGGGAGAGATAGGCATTTCTGTTACAATATTTAGGCAATCATTCATATTGGGCCTGATGGACATTAAGATACCTTGGAACTTCCTATTTTCGTCCAAAGGACCTTCACTCATACTTATGGGTGTATCAGTCCAATTCAAAGATTTCCATATATTTCCAATTCTGTTTATTTGGGTGTCAAAGATAAAGAGTTTTAAGTGGCCAACTGAATAACTTATTTTATCACCTTCCCAAATAGATCCGACCATTTCTAGTGAGGTTATTATGTTGCCTGCAATTTGGTTGACTACCCTCTGAGCAACTACGAGATTATTTTGGATCTCTCTCTAAAAATTTCTATAGTACAAAACTTGGGAGATTTTTGTAGCTGATTTTAGTTTTCTCTTTGAAAATGAGACTTATTTTCAAAGCAGCTACATCTAGATATCAGCCTCAATCTTTAATATGATGACTTAATTCTCAAAGTATTGGAGAATGAACTGCTAACCAAGATCCATGAACATGATCATGGGACACTCGTCAACTTGGTGGACTTGGTTTTCTTGGATAAAGTAGAATGCATTAAGTTTTTAAATAACATGCATTTAAAAGCAAGGAGCTCACTGTTTTTACCTATGGGTGCATTTGGTAATAAATTTATGTGTCCTTGTATGTGGTATTTGGCTCTGTAGTGTGAATGCACTGTTTTGTATAATACAGAGTTTTATTGCAATTTTATGTTCCCCATATAATGTCAAGGGATCATCCTTATTTTATCCCAAGAAATCACGTGTGCACCAAGCAATTTTATGTTCCCCCTGTAATACATGATGGTTGTTGGTTGAATACTTATATCTTTTACATGTGCAATTATCATTCATCTACTTATTGATTGTTGCGCCAAGCAAATATTGGACTACAACAGAATGAGCGTCCACCATACATATGGAATCCTAAACTATCAGTGTTAATTATTTAGTATCCAAGAGTGTGTACGAGTTGTGGTGTCCTGACTGATATTTGAACTGACACTTGTTGATCTTGTTTTTTGGATGTGTCTGCTTGTAGCTCCTCTTAAAGCATGAAACTTTATCATGTTCTCAGCTCACATGGATCTTTTAGAATTTAAACCGCAAATCCTTGCTGCCATGGTTTTTGGATTTTACGGAAAATGCCCTCATCTTGATCTTCACTTGACCTGTTCTTGAAGTAATGTGAATCTTTGCTCCCCCCATCCCCATCTAATGTTTGTTTTTTCTGGTTTCATTTGGCTCATACCTTGCTGGTCCATATGTAAATATACGACTTTTGACGGGTTTGATCTTTGGATGTCTAATATTTCAAACTATTATGTTTGAAAAAAATGCATTTATTCGCGATGCTTCATTATTTCAATAAGAAGCCACCTCTCGTATGCTTGCACAAATTATTGACTTTGGTGATTTGACAGACTGGAAAAATGTGCTTCATTTTTTCCAAAAAGGAAATTTAATTGTGGATTGACTTTTTACTCATTCAATGTAAGAACCTGGAATCCAGTTCGTTGGGTGTCTGACTTCCTAGTTGGGAGATGAAAATGGATTTTGACATTAAACATGTGCTTAACTAGTTATGCATTTTCTGCCGAATAGGACAATCATGGCTCTGTGGAAGGCGAGAGCCCTGAGCCCTGAGCAGAAGGTCCAAATTGTTGAAGAAGAATCTGAGACTAAAAATCTCCAAGTGTCTCAAGAAACAGATGAAGATTCTGAATCCAAAAGCCTCCATGCTGAAGAGAGTGGGTCATTCTTGGGTGTTGAGGATGTCAGCATGTCTCTGCTTTATTCTTCTGTTCTTTCTATTCCTGTAAGTACATCTCCACCTTTAGCTTAAGACGCTTCTAAATTCTCAAACATTATGCACTCATCTGGATCACAAAAATTCATGTGTTGGTCATTTTCAGATGAGTTTCTTCATGGAGCTATTTGGTGGTAATGATATTGATCGTAAAGTCATGGAAAGGGTTGGTTGTCTTAATTATTCTTACAGCCCTTGGGAGTCTGAAAAGCCTGATGTCTACCAAAGACAACTTTACTACAAGTTTGATAAACGCATTTCTCGTTATAGAGGAGAAGTGACAAGCACTCAGCAGAAATCTCGTCTTTCGGAAAGAAATGGTTGGGTCATAGAAGAGGTTATGACCCTCCATGGAGTTCCACTTGGTGACTATTTCAACGTAAGAACACTGCACCTCCAAGATGCCTGCTTGTTCTGTTGTGACCTTTCTTTGGGTTTCTTTATCTTCATTGCTCAAAAAGCTCTCTGTTAATGTAATGTTTCAGCTTCACATGAGATACCAGGTTGAGGATGCACCATCAAGATCCATGGGATGCAGTGTCCAAGTTTATTTTGGATTAGCATGGTTGAAATATACAAGACATCAGAAAAGGATCACCAAGAACATTCTTGTGAATCTGCAGGAGCGGCTACTGGTGATGTTCAGCGTACTTGAAAAGGAATTTGTTACAGGGAGATAGATGAATGTTTGTATGAAACCTGTCGGCAACAATTTTGTGTTATTTCCAGGGGGAGTAAATCTTTCTGAAGGCCTTCCCTTCCACTGAGTTCTCTCGGCGCAGTATGCTTAAACTTGCTGCTAATCGTATCAGACCCGAGCTAAGTTGATATCTCGCGTGGTCATCGTGGAGATGTTTGCTTCCGGAGAGCCCTTGCTTCATGGGCAGGGTATAGCTATAGGAGAGCATACTCAAAAGGAGGACTTGCGGTTGGTATTTAGTTTCTGGGTGAAAATATTTTTAGTGTGAAATAGACTCAACTCTCAAGAGAAGACTGACTCAAGGAATGGTCCTGGGGGCTGGAACCCAGGTATTAGTTGGTTCTGGACATGGTGGAAATTTTTTAGTTCAAGCAGATCCTCGACCTTTATTATCATTATTTGTTTAAATATGAGTTGGGAGATCTGATTTACAACAAGCAGTTACCACTAAGTATGAATTGTAACATAATGCAAGTGTGATTGTATCAAAATATCCATTCTTTGGTTTAGTCAGAGTGTGACACCTCTGATCAGTGTCTGATTTTTCATTGTAGATGTGGACCATTTAAGGTACGAATGTTCATTTCATTTTGTTAATGACACTAAATGCCCCATTGTCTGTACAAGCGATGGTTATAGACCTCTAAAGTTTAAGCATAATTTAGAAAGGCTTCCTTCATGTAGTTTATAAAACTGCATCGACTGCCATTGCTAGCTCCCACTGCAACTGCTACTACCGAGTTGATAGAGGGTAGTTGTTATGGAGTTTCATACAAAGGCTCGTTGGGTTCTGAGTCCTTTCCTTATTTATGGCCCTCTCCTTCTCCATAGTCCATGCAGGATAAGGATTCAGTATAATTGTGTTTTGTACAGTTTCATTCGATCATTATACACATTTAAATTTGAGGTGTATAAATATATCACTTTTATTTCGAATACGATAATATAATATAATTGTACGCCAAATAATGTAAAAAGTACGATAACCAAATCGAATCACATTTGACCATAACTGCATTGGCCCCTCTCCCATTCATACAAGTTTGATTACCACGATGCATAATGTATATAATTGTATATCAAATAATGTAAAAGGTATGACAATCGAATCGAATCATATTTGACTGTAACTGCATTGGCCTCTCTCCCATTTATACAGGTTTGATAACCACGGTGCGTAATGTAAATAATTAAGATGAAGTTTACGAATGCTAGTATTAGAGAGAGAGAGAGAGAGAGTGAATATGAAAATAACACAAACATCATTATGATGCACACAATAGCTACTATACCAGTATATGCTGTTGTCCAAAAGATGGTGATGAGAGATAGCTGGTGGGGTAATTATTATTCATTATAATTTGTATAAACATTGGGAGAAGGTGAATGTTATGAAGACAAAATCTCAGGTGAAGTCTGTGAAAAATAGCACTCTCTCTATGAGTATGCAGTATATGATATTTACAACGAAAAGGCATAAAAGACTAGACAGAGATACATTCCCCATTAAGTTAGAGGCCCAAACAAAACGCAAGCCGAGCCCCGTCATCCTCTTCCTTTTATATCTTCAATCCGCATCGGACTCGGCCTACGTCTGCTGTTGTCGTCGTCCACCCACGCTTCCCTTCATTCATGTCTCAAATCTAAGTGATAAACCCACCACCACACCACCTGTCTGTCAATGCCATTAATATATTAAATTAACCAAAAAAAGAAGAAGAAAGAATTTTAAACAAAAATCTTCCTGCGCTTTGTTACAAGTTTTTTGTTTTTTTGGGTGGTATCTTGTTGGGTCCGTCTGGCTGCTCGCCTCTTGCTTCTGCTTCTTCATCTTCATGTTGAAAGAGAGGCAGTAATAGGTAAATCTTTCAATCTACTCACTTTTCCCGGGGGCTGGGGGAAAGAGGGCATCTTTACATGGTCTTACTTAGTTGCTTCATGATTTCCCGTATTCAGTTTGAAGATCATCATCCTTTTTTTTTTATATGTGTATTTAAGATCATCATCTGAAATACACATATAAAGCTCTATGCTTAATTTTTGGGATTAACTTATACGTAATTTTTGGTTTTTTTGTTTTTTGGGTTGAAAAGGGGGGAGGGGGGTGTGGTGGTGGTGGGGTGGCTTTCTGATTCCCATATGCTACCAGAAAGAATAAATGCCAAAAAAAAAGAAAGAAATCGAGCACCCCTAATATCAAAGTTTTAACCTTATCGCTGTTTTTGGTATTTTTGCTGTTAGTGCAGGTGGTATTAGGCGGTAAAGATTTCAAAGCTTTTCCAGGTGGCATTTGTTTCTTCTGTTTGTTTGCTGCTAGCAACCTGCAGTTTGTGCAGGCGATCGATTTGCTCCATAGGTCTTGATTTTGTTGCTTACTCTCTGCTAGTGTATGCCCTCAGTCTTTGCGTCTGTTTTCCGCTTTCAGTCCATGGAAGTTTTGGTGGTTGGGGTGGGGGTGGGGGGCCGGGCGTAAATCTCATCTGTAATTTGTTCATTGCCGACTACCTTAGCACTATCGAGATTCTTTCTGTAGATTTACAGTCTTAATATGGTTTTTCTGAACTAGTAGGTTTTGTCTGGAAGCTTTATCCGAGTCAAGTGAAGCGCCTGTAGACTTCAACATCTGTTTGAAGTTCTGTGTGTGTGTGTGTGTGTGTGTTAGTTGAGGATGCTGGAGCGCTACCATTTACCTAATATCTGATTGAAGTGTACTATTTCTTAAGAAACTCTGTGCAAGAACGAACAACGATTACAATTCTTCAAGAAAATGTATGGGAGAGCTGGTCTTGATCGCTTCAAGAAGGCTCAAACTTCGGAACCATTTTCTGTCAGTGTGAGTAATTCTTCTGCCAATGCTAAATCACCCACACAGCCTTCCAATAAACCACTTGCCAGCCCTTCTGCTTCCAACTCTCAGCACCACCTAAGCCAGTTCCATAACCAAAACCCTGGCTCCCAGAAGCCTCTACTGCCGGATGTTGCACAACCTGTACCCCCTGTTCCCCCAACTCAGCCAGTGACTCAGGTTGGAGGGGGCCAATCAACTTGGCAGCCCCCTGATTGGGCAATTGAACCTTGTCCTGGTTTTTATTATCTTGAAGTCATCAAGGATGGTGAGGTTCTTGATAACATCCATTTGGATAAGCGGAGGCACATATTTGGACGGCAATTTCAAACTTGTGACTTTGTGCTTGACCACCAGTCTGTCTCACGGCAGCATGCTGCTGTCATTCCTCACAAGAATGCAAGGTACATAACCAACCACCTTCACATTGTTATGGATCATTTGAATTTGATTCAATTTCATGGTTTTATCATGAATTAGATGAAAATATAATGTTTTAATATATCTTAAACCAAAGAAAGTGAGGAGCACAGTGTCCTTACTTTCTGTGGATCCTCACAATGAGATGATGGTTGAACTGTTTCAATGTGCGTGCCTGTTTTCTGTCCATTAAAGATGGCCAATGTGAGGCTAGTTATTTTGTTTTTGCTAACCTGAATCAACCATTTGAAGAGAAGCCCTATTGGGCAAGGAGAGGATAGGGTAAAATAAAAGCTTCCCTTAGTTCAACAATAATTTTCTGTCCACAGCTGGCACTATTGCCACAAAACCTTGAAGGGCTCCACTTGCACTATATTCTCACTTGACTTTTTAAGAATTAAAGGACCTACCCTACAATGATAAGGAGTAACTTCTGAGGATTCTGCATATGTGGAAAGCATATGAGTTTCCAAAATCTACTGCTTTTCTAATGTAATTGTGGAACTGAAATGCTGAATAGAATGATCAGTGCAATTCCGAAAGAAAGCAGAAATGGTTTTTGTAGTCATTATGCAACTCAAGGAGGATACTATAAATGTGACATACCCGACAAATATTTATGGAGCAGCGGCATTGATGTAGACGAACAAGTCAAGTGCAAAATTTTGACTAGTTTAACCCATCTTGGGAGAGAGTATATAAACAGTTGAATGTCTGAGCAGAAAAGCATGAAACTTCTAGGCTAGGCTAGTATCAATTTAGCAGAATGATGAGTCCTCATAAATTCATATTTGACATCTTTGAGAAGAGAGGTGCCAAAGATTGCATCTTTCACACTTTCAGTGGTTGGCTGCATGCTTCGATTCTGCAGTCAGAGGGGCTAAAGGCTCTCTTCCACCTTTATAACTCGTTTTAGGAGCTTCTGAAGTGTCAAAAGCGGCAAATCTCTCATTCTCTCTCTCAAGCACAGTTTGTTGCTTGCTCTGCCTTCTATTAGTTTTTGCTTCCTGGTAATCAAGATTTAAAAGGCATGGCTAATAGTTGGAGGGTTTGCTTTACTTCCTTTTCATTTTATATCTTATGGCCATGGTTTTCCTAGTATCTGTGTCACTTGGACACCGGATAGTTTGAACTCAAATCTAACAAAGTATGATGTGTATGAAGCTAGTATCTATCATGTATGAACATGGGGGGCTGGGTTCCCTCTGGAGATTGTTCAAGAGCATGATATTTATGTGTTATACTTAAAAATTTCAATCTCATTTGGGTTGTGTGCCAATATACTTGCTCTATACTGTCCTCCAAATATGTGACTGCTACTTTCTTGGATATCTTAAGTCATTTAGGATGCTGTTAGTTTCATCAATTGCTGACCTGACATCTAGGTGAACTTTTGGAGTATTTCCCTCAATTGTTATTTTTTTGTGCAGCATATACGTGATTGATTTAGGATCTGCACATGGCACATTTGTTGCAAATGAGCGGTTAACCAAAGATTCCCCTGTTGAGCTTGAAGTTGGGCAGTCTTTACGGTTTGCAGCATCTACGAGAACTTATATATTGAGAAAGAACAATGCAGCTCTTTTTCCGCCACCAGTACATCCTTCAGATATTAATATACCCCCACCCCCTGATCCTTCAGATGAAGAAGCTGTTGTGGCTTACAATACATTTCTAAATCGGTATGGGCTGGGCAAGCCAGATGAGTCTAAATCTTCTGATTTTGATAGCTCCTTACAGGGGAAAGATGAGAGGGCAGCTAAAAGGATTAGGAGAACAAGAGTGGCTTTTAGAGATCAAGTAGGGGGAGATTTGGTTGAAGTAGTTGGAGTATCGGATGGAATTGACGTCGATACGGAGCCTGGTCCACTGGGTGTTAAAGAAGGAAGTCTTGTTGGGAAATATGAATCCCTTGTACAAATTACGGTGATACCCAAAGGCAAGGAACAGTCCTCCTCGAAAGAAGTCGGTGTTTCCCAAGCGGGCGTAACTGAAAAACTTAAGCAAGTTCTAGACAAGGTAAAAACTCCTGTAAGGAGTGGGATTTATGATGATCTCTTTGGAGAATCCTTTTCCGGTAAAGTTGGTTCGTCTTGGGCATTTTCCTCCGCTATATCTGGTGAGACGCAAGCATCTCCAGCCAGTGAGATTGAAGGGACAGCTGATGCTGCCTCTGGTGGAGAGCTCGATAGTAGCTTAAGTGCGGTTGACAATGAGGTTGATGATGATTTATTTGGCTAGCTTTTTGGCTAAGTTTTTTAATTTTTTAGCTGATGAGGAGGTTTTTTTCCTTCTGTAAAGGGACATTTTTGTTGTACTTCGCTGTTAAATATCCTTTGTTTTGCATCCTCATCCGAGCTTCCAAATTGCACTTCTTGAAATTTTTGATCTCTCCCTCTAACTTGAACCTTTATGATTTGAAGGAATTGTACTGATCAATTGTTAAAGCTTTTAGTTAATTAGAGCCTTTGAACCCATAGTTGAGATAAATGTTTTTCTACTGCTAGCGATCTACTGATTGCCCTGGTACTCGCGGTTTCTGCCTAATTGTTGCTAGGGTAATTGTTCCTTCGTAGCATTTGGGTGCTGCGTTTTACTAGTGGCCCATGAATGCATGCTGTAGTTTCTTTCTGGACTGCGAGGATTTAAATTCTTTCATCTGAAAGTTTCTTCACCCTACTTGATCAAATTGCATGTAGCTGTTCTAAGGACTCAATCAGACGAACTATTAAGTGTTCATTCTGGGAATGTTTTTGTCTGCCAAAGTCTTGTTCTTCCTAGTTGTAGCGGTTCTTCGGCTGACATGGAAGCATGCAAGTAGTGTCTGCTAGAAGTCTCGTGCCTGTATGCAGTGTGGGTTCTAAATTCCTTCTGCCCTCTGTACACTGGCAAGTGATAAGGGGGTAGGGGACTTATACGGGTCCTGAAATGGTTCTCCTGAGTAGCTGGGGATCTGCATCTACCCTCTTTTGCCCTTGGAGAAACTGTAAGCAGGAGGCGGGTTGGGGAGGATGGAAAAGCAGCATTAATTCACGTGCTTATAAAAGGAGAACGCAGTTTGGACGAAAAGGAGAGGAATCGATTTGTTTATTTAGTTTCTATGGAAGCATGGAAGGAATAGAACTGTAGATTGTATATTACCATGGTCATGTTTTTCAAAAATTTATTTTTCTTGCGAAGCTTGAGAATCTGATTCTGCAAGTTTGCTTCATAAACCTGTCAAACAAATTTCCAGATTAATATGAAAAACGCAGTTAAGACTGGTTTTGTTGCTTGATCCTGAAAGAAGTGTTCCTGCAATTTATTTAGCTTCGGCAACAAAGGTGCTTAAACCGAAATATGCTGCATGAATTGTTTCAGTTGGTATCGCCTCAAAATGTGAGGAAATCAGGAATTTGGCAACATTAAAGAAAGAGGAAAATCATGAGCGAGACGGGGAGATAAAAATGACCTGTTTCTTTTCGTGTGCTTTTGCCGCTGCCTCTCTATTTTTGATCTTTGTACGCTCTGCCCTGCGTGCAGTCTCTTCCTGCGTCTCGATTACACCTTTGTATCTCCTCTTCTTCCGACGACCCTTGACCTTTTCAGTTCCACCCCCGTCGCTGCTTTGGGAACAAATGAAGTATCTTACTGAAGGTGAAGGACCCCCAAAGAATGTGATGCTTGGGACACCAGGGATATAATTCCCTTTTAGGCCAAGGCCATTGCCGTCGCAGATTCCATTACCATAATTGTATGCTTGTTCAGAAAAAGGTCCTATCCCATTCCCACCTCCTCCAGCAACACTGTGCACGTTTTCAGAGGGATCATTGCAATTTCCCAGGGCAAAAGATTTGGCACCGCTTCCTTGATGATGAAGTTCATGATCAGCCATTTCCTCTATCATCACTAGAGACTCTTCAATTTCTCTGGCCAAAGCCTGTTGCTCATACTTAGTTGCGGTAGTTGCTGTTGAAGTATTGGAGTGGTTAGCTGCAGTAACCCCGTGTTGGGTGCAAAGAGTAGTACTGGAAGTTGGAGTTGGAGGCGGCATTGTAGTCTCAAACGCATCGAAGTCATCTAATAAAACCTGGCTAGTTCTGGCGAAACAACTCTGAGTTTGAGGCGGAGGAAGTGACTCGTTGATGTTTGCGTTGTAAAGGTTGAGCTGATCATTAATGGCTAAAACGGATTCTACAAAGTTGGTAGAGCCTCCTCCTCCTCCTCCTCCTCCTTCGGGGAATGCTGGCATTACTTTCTCAAGTTCATTAAGATCGACTAAGAGCTTGTCAAGGTCAGCGTCGGTGAATTTACCAAACCTCCTCCTCCTGCTGCCGCTATCGCTGAGATCGTCATCACCATCACTATCTCCCTCTTCTTCAGCAAGCTGTAAAATGGGATCCATGATTTTCTTGAAAATTAACAGCACTGGATTTTGAGATGAAGCAGGAAGACTTGTTTATTAACCAATCTCTTAGTTTGATGCTTTTAATTGAAGATTTAGATGGACGACAAATGTACGTGGTTAATCAGATGATATTGATACCCCTATCCATGCAGACAGCAAAAGAAGAGATGGAAACGTGAAATCAATACTTGATAACATCTACATGGTAAAATCAATTTTATATGTTTCAGTTTCCTCTCTGTGGTAAAAGTAGTGCTTACTATTCTTTTCCTCTCCTCTCTGTAGTCTGTCTGTAACCATACATGTCTTTTGCGTGAGCCAAGCAGCAGTACCATTTCTGGACTTGATGCCTTGGTTGAATTTATTCCTATTTTTAAAGCAGAATTTTGGAAACGCCTCAGCATTGTTTTGCAAAATAACCTCTAAGATTAAAGTGAAACCCAATAATTATTATTATGCACAAAAAACTCAACGTCCTAAAAAGTCACCCTCTCAAACATGATGAGACCGGCCGGCGGAAGCTCCAAGTCCGATTGAGCTTAATTATAAGAACCAACAAGTTACAAAGAATGCTCATCCACCAATAAGTTTAACCTTCCCACCACAAGTAAAATTATAAAATGCCATCCAACACCTCTCTCTGGTCTATTCCCAAATAATTACTACTTCACCTCTGGTTGATGTTTTACTTTTAACTGACGACAATTACTCAGAAAACTAACAATAATAATAACCTCAAAAATAAAATGTTACTACTTCAAAGGTGGCGGGTAGTTTTTAGCTTTACACTTTCCAACTTCCACATACAAAGCAATAAAATGTTCTCGAATTGCTTAATTACAAAAAAAAAACCCCCCGGTCAAAAAATCTTGTTCTTTTCACTTTTGATTTTCCAATTTTGAGCTTCTTCAACTCAGATCGCCTTGTGCTTCCAATTTAAATATGGACTCTTTGTGCGACACACTCTTAGATGAATTTTAAACGTTCCCCTGCTCTTGTGGCATACTACGTACTTCAAGCCTTTTATATAAAATATAAAACAAGTAATCGAAACTCATTGGAAACACATTAAAAAAATGGTGACCCTTTGCAAATGTCTTTGGCACTCGAGCGAAGACTGTTGTCGTTTTTTTTTTTTTTTTGGCAATAATCTGAATTTTTAATCCTTACAGAGATGTAACTGATCAGACTTCAATGAGTATCACAACGTTAAAGTATTCTTCTATCGGAGAGGGTAAACTATTTTGTAGTAATATTTTATGGATGCGAGGTAAGTGAGACGAAAAGCTAGTTGACTGGCTCAGCGGTGAACACGAAAGCTTTCAGTCAGAAAGAAGTCCAACAGCCTCAACAAAAATCCTCTGGTAGGTAAACACACAACAAATACTCTGTAATTTTATTAATTCAAAACTCAACAATAACAATATCAAATTGTGGCCTTTCACTAACGACAACTCACAATAACAATACTTATTAGAGGTTTTCCCTCAATTCAACTTTCTAAGGAACAAAATGTACTAGATTGTAGATTATAGAACTTCAAAAACAAACACAATTGTAAATCAAAACTTACTTGGAACTGGCTTAAGATTTCCCTAAACTAATACGGAAATTAAACAAACAAAAAACTAACAGAATTAGAAATTATAATTTAGTTTAATTCCATCATTGTCTCCCCTAAATTAAACTTTCCATTATAGTCACTTCCAATACCATCTCGAACTTGAGTCTCCATGAATAATTCAGTCACTATATGAACGATGTGAAACACCAACTTGCAATTGTTTTTCAATTTCAATTTCACGTGTGGTAATGCATGGAATTTGTACTTTTAAATAATTTCTTGACTTGATTACTTCGGTCAAAAAACTCAAACATGTTCACCTATTCCTGATTAAATGACCCATTATTTAATTCATCCCTACATCATCAAGAAAATCTCCCAACACCACAAAATCATAATTTTCACCAATAAAGTTTTCAACATAACCATATTTTTTTTTCTTTAATTTTTCACACTAAAAATTGCATCAATTTTAGTTGAACCATAATTTTCAAATAATTTATCCACTCCACAATTGATTTCAACTATTGGATTTTCTTCGTCAAATACATTATCAACTCCTATAAAATCAAGAATTTCTATCTCATCACAATCTTCAATCACATCATTAATTTCACTAATGATTTCTTTTTTTTCTCTCAACCACTTGTGAAATTTCTTTTTTGAATCATAAATTTTTCATCTTCATGTGCACCCAGGGCTTTTACAATTTTTTCTTTCTTTGTCTCATTCAATTTTTTTTTTCTTTTTTCATCACAAATTTCTTCTCTACCATGACCACAATAAGAAATCATCAAAATTTTACAAGCCTCCCTTGCTATTTTTGCACATATGAATTTTTTGATTGTACATAACTGGACTTTTATACTGACATAGTGATGTCTTGCGATTCAAATATCTATTTCTCTCTAACGCTCTTTAATTGCAGTGCTCAATAATTCCACGCCTTGTGTAGGTTCTGTGAACCCCTTTTGGGCAATATCCCAAATTCAAACAATTTGAAAAAATATTTTCATCATTCAACTTCAAATCTCAAATTCATTTTTACCATCGAAGAAAAAAACAGCATAACATTGTAAATAACATGGATCCATATTTTAATTTCATGAATAAGCTGCAAGATCAAAACCTAGGGTTTTGATACCACTTGTTGACCAACAAAAAAATCATGCACAGTGAAAGCAACTTTTTACACATATAAAAATATATGGAAAGAGGAAAATAATAAACACATAATAAATGTTCAATAATTTTATTAATTCAAAACTCAACAATAATAATATCAAGATGTAAACTTTCGCTAACAACAACTCACACTAACAATACTCAAAGGCTTTCCTGTGACAGCCCCACCTCCCCCTAAGGCGAACCAAAGGGTTCGGCGGGCCGCCTGCCCAACTCTCGCCAGGACTCAGTTGAGCCGTTAAAAGAAATCGAAAACGTTCAGGAAGGTAATAGCGCTCTCAAACGATTCAAAGTCGCCAAATGGCAAAACGAAAATCAACACAAAAAATGAATAGTGGTT